TGGCCTCCACCCTAGTAGCTTCTTGTTACTAATAGCGATGGCCTCCACCCTAGTAGCGTCCTTGCTCCCAGTAGTTTATGGCCTCCACCCTAGTAGCTTCTTGTTACTAATAGCAATGGCCTCCACCCTAGTAGCGTCCTTGCTCCTAGTAGTTTATGGCCTCCAACCTAGTAGTTTCTTGTTACTAGTAGCGATGGCCTCCACCCTAGTAGCGTCCTTGCTCCTAGTAGTTTTTGGCCTCCACCCTAGTAGCTTCTTGTTACTAATAGCAATGTTTTCTACCCTAGTAGCGTCCTTGGCCTCCACTAGCTCCGTCCCGCTCGGCCTGCACCACGAGCTCCGCGGCGGCCGCACGGCGCAGCAACACGGCGTCGCCCAGCAAAGGGTCCAGGCAGCTACGGCCACAGGACGTCGAGTTCTCCAGGGCAGACAGGGCAAACCTGCGAAAAACGGAGGTGGCGATTTCCGGCACCTAGCCCCCCTACCGGCCCGACGATCGGGTCTACCCTAGCTCCAGTATAGACATGTATAGACCTATCTGCGCGAGTTCTGCGATGAACCCACGAAAAGCATCGTTCCCTCCCGAAGCGCCCGACTCTTTGAGCGGACTCTTTCCGGCTAAGCTGCTGAGCAGCTCGAGGAACTCGGGTGTACTGCTGGATGATGTCCTTCATCAGTGGCTCTGAGCGATGCCTAGCGAGCAGAGCCCCGGACGGCGTAGAACGGTCGATTTCTACCAGCTGCCAGGGATCGCATGAAGTGAATGGTGAGAGGCTGAAGCATTGGAGGCACATGTGAAGTATGGTACCGTAGATGATGTTAATCCTTTTTCTATGATACATGGGATTCTTTGCAAGGTACAAAAGAGTGGTATGAGCGTCGGGGATTGATCTATGAGATGGTCGCACGACCTTCTCCCTGTGTCGACAGCCTATGTCGCTGGCAGTTGGTCCTGTCGGTCTGCAATCCAAGCGTCGCACAAAGCACGTTGAAGACATGCCAGGTGCTCTTGTAGAGCTTGGTCAGCCACTCCCCTCCGGGCGGAACTCACTTTGGTAAACAAAGATGTGCAAAAGACATGGACTGAGCAAAGGACAGTATGATGGTATGTGTTGTCTTCTTTGTTTTGTTGCTTCCTTTGGGGAACCTCAACCTGAAGGCACCCCAATTTCGGGGGCCGAAGCAGCTAAAGCATGCCTGAAGTCGGGATCAACATCTCTGGTGCAATGATGAAGCAAACCTTGATCGACCGGCGAATTAAATTCGTTCAACAAGTCACAATGATTTCAGCAAAACTGGTTCATTGCCATTCAGATGCTCTTTGGTGGGTGTGACCCTCCCCATCACTTCGTGCGAGGGCGAACTCCCCATGCTTCACCGGCGAACATGCAGGTCTCACCGCGGCGTCAGCCGGTGAAAGTACACCAGTTCAGGTCTCTGCTCTGCTTTCTCAAGAGACGCTAAGCACACCACTTTAGTGTCAGCACACCACTCTGAGTTCACAAGGCACAAAACCCTGCGATCACGGCACATAACCAGCAGCGTGGAAGAACTCCATGGCACGTTCGGTCTGCGACTGTCCCTTCACTTGCGGGCACTCATTGCCACAAGCCTGACAAACAACATACAAGAAGGAAACACATCAGACCAAAGCATGTGTCCAAAAATAAGTGCTTTCGGAAGGAACTCCCTTCACTGCTCTCTGGAATAGTAGATTCCCGATTTGGGGAGATTTGATCTTCCTGTCAACTCTCTAACTACGCCGACTTGCCTTGATAAATGACTAGCCAAGAAGTTTAAAATCCTAGCCAAAGCTTCTGGCCGATATGATACGTATGATATGATATGTATATTATATATGTATATATGTATATATGCTGCTCATTTACTGGTTGACTAGCGGAGACTGAGGAGAAAGCACCCACTACCAAACCAGAACCACATCCAAACCAGGCTACTAGGGTGGAGGCCATCGCTCTTGGGTTCGAGGCCATCGCTACTAAGGTGGAGGCCATTACTGCTAGGAGCAAGGACGCTACTAGGGTGGGCCATTACTACTAGGAGCAAGGAAATACCACGAGGGTGGCGGCCATGGTTCTTAGGTTGGAGGCCATCGCTACTAGGGTGGAGGCGATTACTACTATAGTAAACCATTAACAAGAAGCTACTAGTAAAACCAGGTGTTTAAAATCCCCAGTCTTACGATGCGGGAAGGTCCCTTGTTCCTCGCGATGTTCTGCTCATTCAAGCACGCGGCAGGAGATGCTGGGATACACCGATTCGATGCAATGATGACTGCCGTGGCTTCCGCTGTAAAGGCACTGTTGGCATCAGCGGAAGCAATGGTTCAACGAATTGGGCTAGCACGGCTCCAAGAATTTCCAAGATGTGCTGAAAGCTTTTGAAAACATCACTCATCACAAGCCTTTCTACACCAGTCTCTGAAGGAACACAAGGACAAGTATATATATACTCCCGGCCGTGTCCAACCGTCCAAGAGACAAAATTGTTTGTGCATGCATGCTGTATGCATCTTCAAGAGTTCATATAGGAGCCCCCAGGCTTCTCAAGCCTCGCACCATAGAGCCTGGTCCCCCTCTCGAGGTGGAAATCTCATGGAAGTTGAGATTCGCTGGACTCCGATTCAGTCAGCTGCGAGGCTCCATTGCGCTTGATGCCCAACCAGCTCTCCAAGAAGGAAGGCTTCTTCACGCGATCGTACTCAAACTTCGAGGTAGCTGCCTTTGCTAGTTGCTTCTGGAAGTCGTGGATGTTTTCCTGGGCCGTTCACTTCGGACGCCGACCGGGTCGGCCTATTGCCCAATGAGAGCTCCGGTTGGCCAATGTACGATGGCTAGCGCACCAGTGTACACCCTGCAATCACAGGTCTCTGCGGAGTTTTTCTTGCTTGATGATTATGACCTGACTTCCAAGTGTTCGATTAGGACCTTCTAGCTCTTGTTGCAAGCAGCAGGGGGTAGCAGCAGATCACTTGGGATACTTGGGACTGCTACCAACGAAGACGCCCATTTGATGTGGCGGTATCAGAGTTGGCCACTCTGACATACCTGTTTTTGGACCCTGGTTTTAACTCAAAAAAGACGACCAGCCATTGCATTCTGAAAGACAGGCAGCCATCGTTCGATCGGGTTTGGAGCCTTTGGACACTTCTGGCGAAACACCGCTGCAGTTCTGGCTCGACAAACACACTGTAGAACCAACTGCTCGACAAACACACTCGCTGCTCGACAAACCTCGTGTGCCTGGTTGACTAACTGCCAAGCAGGTGAAAGTGGGCTTCGAAGAGACGTGCACTAAGAATTCACAACGCTCAATGAATTCCCGGCGTCGGTACCAGTCTGCTGCAAGCGGGACGGTGGCGACCCAGTGATCCAAAGATACACTGCCTCCGGCCAGGACAAATCAAGTGCCGTGCGGGTGATCCTCAGCTCAGTGATAAGGGCGGAAACTGATGAGAGATGTCAATTCTAACGACAATTTTGGATAAAGTACATTGACGACGACAACAACGACAAAAACATAAGTCAGAATTCATTTGCACACCTTTGATGAATCAGGGGTCTTAGCAGTTGTGCCAAGCATCCAAGGGTTCAGAGGGCCTAAGCCTGAGACAAAGGCGAAGACTGACATGGCAAAGATGCCCCCCAAACATTGCCCACCAATGTAGTACTTGCCCATGCCTCACCAGGGCAAGCACGGTTCATTCAAGTTCATTCTCCCAAACAGGATCACATCAATCAAGTGATCGAGACATGGTATGGTCGAGTCCAGTAGAAATGAAAATGAAAATATGTGACTGTGTCAAAAGTGCCATGAACATGGGTGGCCAATGGATTTCAGACTCTGCCATCTACACATACGAACTCAATTCAAGACATCGATGTTCCGATATATATATATAGAGAGAGAGAGATGCTTTCAAGGACACGTTGATCCGGATGTTGGCAAATTCACGTCCAGTTCTCAAAAAGGCATCTGGCGTCACATTTCGTGGACATCCCCCTCAGCTCATCTAAGTGGGTTGAGGGTCATGCCGGAAGTAGATTCGTCCGGGCCATCGGACGAAAAACGTCCAAGCGGTGCTTACCATGTCTACAGAACACCCTGTGACCCCGGAACATGAAAACTGGAGACGACAAAAATGAGGTGGGAAGATGAAGTCTATTTGCTCATCTGTGATCCAAGCATGTGTTTTGATGAGTATTCAGCAAGTCCCGTGGAACCCTCTGCCTTTCGTGCAACCAAAAACCACTTGTGGTCCAAGGACGCGAGCAGGATTCAACGCTGCTCCTGGATCAAAGGAACATCACAAGCGCTTGGAAGGCGATGTTCGAACGTTTTCAAACCACAAAACCAAGGGGCCGAAGGGTGCGAAAAAAAAATAAAATTGTCACTTCAATTGCCCTCATCGCCGGCACCTGTGTACTGACCACCAGACCCTGCGCAACAGAAGAGAGCCAAGCCCACGGCCAGGGGAGTGTGGCTGCCATGGCCTGGCTTTGCCACTCCGCAGGCGTAAACGCAAGAGATCAGAGTAAAAGTCATCACCTCAGCGCAAACTGAACATGTGTGCAGGTTTAATAGGGTTACATCATGTTTTCCCCAAAATCTGTGCAAACCAGCCGCCTCACCTAAAGGACTTTGTTAACATATTGCATGGTTTCCTAACTGAAAATCGGTGGCCTGTGAGCAATGCCACCTGCCCCGCCAAAAAACGTGCTCCTGTTCTGATTAACAACCACAACTACTGGTTCGTGGTTGCACTTTGAAGGCCCCATGAATCCCCAATCACACAAAGTGCAAGCAAGTCACGCACTCCCACCAAAACAATTTGGTTTCGTCGATGCCTTTCGGGCCAAAGCAGCCAGGGCCATCGGCCCCCCATGTTCACCGAAGCACCCGGCACCAAATGCGCCGTCACGAAAGCTCCTGAAACGGCCCGGTGGCCAAATGTTCATATCACGTGGACCTTGTGCCCAAACGCACTGGGGCTAATCAAAGGGGCCAAGACTGTTGGGAAGCGCAGAATGCGCACTGGCAGCAAGCGGGCACCGAGCTGAGCCTTTTCTCGCGAAGCCGTCTGACAGCACAAGATAAACAAACAATGAAGAAAAGAATCACGATGTTTATCTTCTCGATTTATGCGCGTCGTCCTTGCTGTTTGCTGTGGTAGAAAGCCGGCTGGACTGATCGAGGCCGTTGTCTCTTGGGCCGGGCCATGTCAACCCGGCACAACGGGTTCGCTGGAGATTCTCGGGTTCATTGTTTTCTTGAGTGTCCACTGACATCTGCTTCACTTCACTCGCTCGAAGTTCAGCTGCCGCTCGTCTTTTTTATGCGTGGGCCTCTTGTTTCTTCCTTGCGTTGGATCTGCGTCGCTCCTTCGAGTCTTCTCCTTTACAAGCTTAAGTTCGGTGGCGGGAATGCGCCGTACACAAACTAGATCTTGCGAGAGATGCAGAAGCGGGCCCAAGAAGGAGCTTTCAACGCCAGTTCAAGAGTTCTTATGACTTGATTGCGATTTCAGTGAACTTGCAGAATTCCAATCCGGAGCTGGAGAGTTTGGCTGGTTGATGTGGCAAATACGTTGCGCGTTGGTGATTTGCGTGCGCAAGCATTTGGCACAAGCTCGCTGTGGATTTGAGCATGGACTCTTGGTTGATTTAGCAGATAGCGGACTTCAATGGTATCCCTGAGTCAGACGACATCAAGAGGTATATTGGGCCGTTGGCTTTCTTATTTCTTTTTGCAAACCAAAGAAACTTAGTTGGCGCGCCCCGTCGCAGGAGTGCTTTGGCATTTCACAGTGGACAAGTGGACAAGCAGTGATAGTTTGTAGGTCAAGATTTGCAGCAGAAGCACTCCTGGCAGGTGATTGGTGCTGTTCTTTGTTGGAAAGAGGCGAACCAGGCATGATTGCCTGAACTTGAGAGCCTTGCCTTCAGTGCCTTCAGTGACCCGCCGTTGCCGGAGAGCGTACGTCGCAGATGCCAAATCCGTGTTTGATTCCTTTGCGACGGGCAAACGCATGCCTATCGAAGGTACGCTCCTTTGAGAGACCGTTCGACAAGCCAATTCAATGCTTGCGTCAAGTGGGACGACGGCGCGCAGAACACTGCAGAACATATAGCGTTGGTCTGACCGAAGCAAAAGCTGAAAAGTATGCTGCGAAAGCATTTTTCGAGATGACCACAGCTTAATTAATAGTGCGGAGTGGGTCCTCCAGGTGGAGAAGCGGGCTCTGGCTCTGGCAGCGCTGATGCTTCTGGCTTCTGGAGGTTCATACTCAACTTCGACCAGCAGAAGCCTCCATCTGTTCTTCCTCTTCTCGCAGAGTTACCTGTGGTGGTTTCCGGAATTGGTGTGAGGTCAAAACCTGTTCCGCGTGCAGGTTCACTTCTTCACCCATCACAATGGTTTGCCGGCTATCACCATGTCTCCTGAATTGCCCGATCTGCCCAAGAACTAGCACTCTGCAAATAAACTTTAAACCCCTCAGCCTTCAGCTGCAAGCTCTTCTTCAAAACGAGTCGCAAATTTTGTGGCACGGTCAATGAAATCACGAAACTCGGGACAACCTGCCCAGCTAACCCATCCAGCGCCGAAGGCTTTGGGCAAACTCCTCTGATGTTGGGTGTGCACGGGTCTGTTCGAGCAAATCTGCAATTTGAAAACACATGATAGATGCTGGGCCAACTCCAATTGCGCCTGTCACCCCAAGCCCACCTGCACAGATGATGATGATGATGATGCTGATGATGATGATGATGATGATGAATGATGATCACAATCATCATCATCCTCATCACCACCACCATCATCATCATCATCCAAAGCTCCATAGTCGGAAGGCTTTGCAACACCTTCCCCTGCCTCAGATTCGAGCTCATTCACAGAGAAGGCCTCTCGGCCCGCATTCTCGTCAGTGGCCTCATACTCAGGCAAGTCAAAGTCTTCAATGGGTCTCCATCTTCAGGCATGCGGGCGCTTTGGTGATCAGAAGGCCGTCGGGCGCGCTCTCTTTCACGCAGGTCGTGAAAACTCTCTCGCATGGACTTCTCGATTGCATCCAAGTTGTGCTCAGGTCCACTGTTCAACAAAATCTGTCTTCGCTCTTCTCGTGAAAGTCCACAATTGAGTAGGCCGGCAAATCATCACTCATCTTGGCTTCGTCTTCCGGGTCTTGCAAATCATACATACCAGTCTTGTCAGCGGCTGCCGAGGTAAACACATGTTTTCCAAAACCAGTCTCAAAAACTGAAGTGCTTTCGTTTTTTGAGCTCGCATGGAGGCTAAACACTTCTTTGTGCTCATCTTCTTTAGTAATTAAGGTTGCCCTGGCGTTCCAACAAGGATTGACTACACCTCTCCGTGAAGAGCGTTCAAGAGCTTTGGTCCAGCACGTGTCTTCTTCTGCTTCTTCGCTAGATTCGGTGTTTTCTCCTGTGCTCCTTCATGAGCTGTGGTCTATGGCCGCTAAACTCGTCATCCTTCCAGAATGGCATTCCAGGCATTTGCTACGCTACCAGCGTGGAATGTGCACTGACAGGGAGGCCATGAGCTGCCCATTTCTTGCGAATCCGAACGAAAGTAGAAGTGATACAACCATGAGGATAATATTTCCTGATCCTTAACTGCTCGATTTATGTGCATCATCCCTGCTGCTATGCTGTGGTAAAGGCTGGCTGGACTGATCGAGCTCTGTGGACCATCATGGATTAACTTGACAGGCCGTTGTCTCTTGGGCCGGGCCATGGTTTCGCTGAGATAGACACTCTGATCAACCTGGCACAACGGTATATGTTTTTGAGTGCTGCAATCTGCTCCTAGGATGGCACCCAGGATCTGCAAGCCGACATAGATCACGGTGTGCAGCAGTGGGAAGAAGCCACAAACGCATGTGCTGATGGACACCGCTGGATTCAAGTGTCCACCTGCCCGTCTGCATGTTTCTCGTGGAGATGATCAAGGAAACCCCTCCGTGCATGAAAGATTTTGGGGAGGTGCATCCTTCAACATGGATTTGCCCCGTAAGAAGCGGAACAGTCAGCAAACAAAGTCTAAGCGCAATTGACTGTAACATTAATATATATATATATATTATATATAGTGGACTGTATAATATCTTTATATTAGAGTAGCAACCCACGTCTAGGATACATGGCGCATGATGGCGCATGCTTTTGGTGGCTCCTCACAGCGAACCTGAGATGTTTGCCGCAGTGTAAACCCACACTGCCAGGGCAATGCCGTTGACCCAGGCGGCCATCTCTTTCACAGCGGTACCACCCAAAATCCTGGGATCAATCTCTGGACCCAACGCTAAAGCTAGCGTTTGACTGTGTCTCGTAAAGCTAACACATCAACGCACAACGGGATATCTACAATCTACTGTACGTCACAAGTTGCTGAAGGCGGCATAAGGCGGCCTGCCACCCAATGTCCCTGACAAATCCTAAAGAACTCCGACCCCCCCAAGGCTGCGTCGAACAGCTTGGTTTTTCCTCCGCGCGGCTGAAAGAACATCACCCCGATGAACTCCACGGCCAAACTCACGGCGAACTGCCTCGAGAACACCGATTTGTAGTTGGCGAAGATGCTATCTCGGTCAACCGTCATCGTGCGCGTCCAACCGCGATTTCACGTGGCTTTGGAGAGCACTGAACGTCTTGAACCGGCAGCTGGCAGATGACCAAGCGATGTGTGTTGAGAAACAACACAAGGAAGCATGTGTGCCTTCTCTGGAGATCACATCATCACAAACTGCGCAAAAACTGCGAGAGGGTTTCCACCCTAGTTGTTCGTCGAAGGTGTTCGGTTTTGCAGGGTGGATATCGCTAGTAGGTTGGAGGCCATCGCTGGTAGAAACAGAGATAAAAAGAAAAGGAAGAAAGGTCTAAATGATCGTGCGCTTTCGAACCCTCCCAGCAACAAGTCCATCTCCTTCCCGGCCTCCATCATGCGCCCTCGTCTCTATCGCCCAGTTTACGATTAACACCCCCGAAATTCCTCGAAGTGTGTTCTATTCTAGGGGCTCCTGGCCGTATCCTCCTAGGAACAAGCTTCGCTACGAACGGGGCAAAGGACGCTTCGATGACCCGAGTCCCACCTCGAAAATGACGAAGCGGATCCGACGCGCTTGGAAGAGCCGGGAAGCCTCGGCGACTGACCACGCCGAGTTCTGGGTTTCAAATTGTGTGTGTTGATGGGTGTGTGTACATGTTGAATTACAGCCAGAATTCAGTGAATTCAGTGTTTCTAGCTTCATAGTCCGTTGAACTAGGCTGATTGGTGTGATATACTGTAGTAAACAGGATATATGCAATCTAGCAATCGACCGATGATCGGCTTGGGCAGTGACCTCATCAAACGGTTCATGTAGGTTGCCATGTCCCTTTCCAAACCCAAAACCCTGGCTTCCTGACAGTGGCAGCCAATCTCTTCTGTGTTTGCTCAGGACTTGCCTGGGCTTCCCTAGACTTCACCACCCAAACAAATTGTCCGATAATCTGAGGTCGGAACTCCACGAAGAACTTCCAGGTCATGACCCTCAGCGTCCACTTTCAGGAGATGAACCTGGCACTCGGCTGGGTGGCCTCACTTCTTGGTCAACTCAAGACCCCAAAGGCTGATGCCTTTACCAAGTCATCGAAGCCCTGTTCAAGCCAAGCAAGCTTACAGGGCCTTAGGGTCTGCATGAACCCTGCAGTTGTTTCGGAAAAAGCTGATGTTCCAAAATGTTCAGAGTGAATTACAAAAGAAGAAAAATGAAGAAAGGAGCCTCAGCAAATCTCAGGAGGCACAACCTTTGGTTCTGAAGAACTCCTCGAGGGACATCAACGTCTATCGACATCTTCCATCGACCCTGGAAGATTCCCCGGTATCTAGTCTCCCTTCTAATGGCATGTTGCGGCTCTTTTTCCGGGTGGAAGATCAACACAACAAACACAAAGCCGGGGAATCCAACAAGTCATTCCAGAGCTGCAAAGAGAATTATCCGCCATAGCAATAGCAATCATACCCGACTCCATTAAGTTTATCCAAGTGAAATTGTTTACTTGTTTGGACAGAGGGTTGTAGTGGTAGTTAAATTAAAGTACAAACGAACTAGTTAGTTATGGCATATATATATAGAAATAAGATTGAATAAGTACATCATTGTACATCAATAATATGCTTTAACCATACATCTTATTGTCTCGATCATGATCGCAAAAAAGGCTTTACACAACAAAACGGCCTCCAACCTAAGAGCAATGGCCTCCAACCTACTAGCCATGGCCTGCACCCTAATAGCGATGGCCTCCACCCTAGTAGCGATGGCCTCCACCCTAATAGCGATGGCCTCCAAACAAAGATCCTTGTGACCACATTTTCTCCTTCACCGAAGTTGCGAAGGACGACGAAACTCACGGACCAACTTGGTCTCGGTGACAGCCTGCTGGATGCCCAAGTCTTTGGTGAGGGTGTCCAGTTTCACGGTTTTCACCTCAGATTCGCTCGCGGTTTTCACCTCACTCCGCATCCGTTCGCCTGAAAACTCCATCCGGGGCCCACGCACCCATTCTATCCCATTCACCACCCACTCGTCCCACTCCGATCCGCACATCCCATCCATGCCCCAGTTACCCAGGTGGCTTCCTCGCACTTGGAGTCCGAGACCGTCACCGTTTGAACGGCGTGCGGGGCGTCCTCCGCCAGGAAGCTCATGCCGTTGGGGCATTGCATCAAGGCCTGGCGCAGCGTTCGGCGGCATTCAGCCAAGCAGGGGCGGCATTCAGCGGCGAGGTCCCGCGCGAGGGGCCTTGTTCATCCTTTTTCGAGCGCCCGGATTTGAGGTCTTTTGCTCAAATCGCTCTTCCCTTTTTCCCTAAGAATCCTACAGGTGAAATACAGTCGAAAGGGCCCCAACACAAACAAATTGACCAGTTGGATCTAGTTAGGGAGAAGGGAGCTCATCCCGAAGGTTGTTCTGAAAGGCAGCAATCTGCCAGGACAAGAAGGCCAAACCCAACACCCTACAGGAATCATGCCAAGCTGCAGCCTTGCTCAACTGCGATTGACGGCATTGGACCCGCAATCGGGTGATGAAGGCCTTCAGGGTCTGCACTTTGGTCGTCTGGCGCTTGGACAAGGCTGCTGTTAGACCAAACCAAGATCGAAGCACCCGTTGCACCTGAGCCTGAACGTTCACTTGCCGAACCTGCTCACTGCACCGCGTGAGCATAGCACTACTCCACCAGTGACGCAAGGCTGAATCACACCGCAAAGCAGCAAGCTTCGCCGATGCATGCTCGCATTGGCGCCTCCAAAGCCGCCGCTGTATCAGTCGCCCGTGCCACGCCTGAAAAAATCGTTGCACCGTCTCCTCTTCCAAGGCATCACATTTTGCAGCCACTTCAGCCTCTAAGCAATGGCTCATTGCCACTTGCCGACGCACTCGAAGAAGCCACAGCCTCGCTTGGTCCACGGCGACCCGCTGGTAGCTTCGCTCAGCCAGTTGCTCCAGGCCACAGCGCTGTCGACTCTGCTGTTGCAGCTGCCACAGCTGTAGCAAGGCGCTGCGCACCCTGGACTGAAGCTGCTGCTGTTGAAAGCAAAGGACCTTTGCTCTGAGCGCCAAACGCTTTTTGCTGAAAGCTGACCATGTCCGAAGGATCTGGAGAATCAGCACAAGAAGAAGCTGCTTGGCCTTCTGGCTTGCAAGGGAGAGCAGCTGCCGGGTGTAAGACTTCATCTGCGTCTCTTGGTAGAGGCCAAAGATGGCACGTCTTTGTGCCAACCTGCTGCGCTTCTCGTTGCAAGCATCGACTAAGCGCAGCAGCCGCTGCTGGTCACAGCTGAAGCCCAGCCACTGGTGAAGGCTCTTTAGGAGCTTTTGTAGGCGCTTTCTCTGTCGCAAAGCTTTGCATCGCCGGCGCAAAGATGCTGCCTGGTGCCATGTGGCCACTGCACGACAGCAGCGATCGGCCACCACAGTTCTACACCACGTCGTTGCAATCTCATCTCGTTGTCGTGCTCCCTCCGCCAGACGGATCCACGAGAGCAGTGCGGACCGCACTAACAGCCAAGCACTCCGACGCTCCAACTGATTTATGGTTAAAGACACTCGCCAAGCCGCGAAGGAAATGCCTTCAATCTGACATTTGACATCGCTGCTTTTGGACATGCGTTTGAGTCTGCCCTTCGAAGCGGAATGCCAGATCCGCAGCAGCCAGCGCAGGCGCTCTCTCCAATGCCGGTCGGTAGTGAAGAAAACACGCAATGTGCAGGACCATGCCCTCAACACCCGGCGCCTGCGCAGCAAACGCCCAACATCAGTCAGCTCCGAAGCCTTTCGGGCCAAGCACGCAGCCTTTTCAAGGTCCGAATCCGGGAGCCATGCCATGCCACGGATGACTTGTGCTGCTTGTGGAAAGGAAGAGTGTTCAGACTTTAGGCATTCATCTATCAGCTTTAGCTTTTGCACTCAAAGTCCGGTGTCCATCAGTTTGCAGCAGTGAATGTGGTTCCAGTGTTGGGTCAGTGCTGAGGCTTGTATGGTGCATATCCTGAACACGTCTGAACACGGAGGTATCTTTTGGCTTTGTGATGAACTAATCTCTTATCCTGCGCCACGTTCGGCTCCTATCAAGGTTACCCACCCGGCGTGCATTGGCACTAAAAAGATTGCGAGAACTGCAAACTGGAGCTTCCAGGATTTGAGTTGAGGATGCACCAAAAGTCCAACCAAGCGTGGATGCCTTTTTAGTAAAGACTATATTATTGCCTTTTTCGTAAAACATTGTTTTCAGGGAATCTTCTTCAGGCATCGCCTCAAATCAAGGAGTTGGTCAAATAGAAGACCAAACGTAACAAACATGGTTCACCATCCCAATGCTTCCAGCTAAATACAGCCAAACACCACAGTCGTGCCGCTACGTATCGCTGCTACATATGATGCTAACACAAAATGAAGAAACAGAAAGGCTAACACTGAGTTGGTGGAATGAACATCGGATCCAAAACCCACCCTGAACCCGGGCTCCGCGCTGGGTGCGCTCGGCCGGCCTCCGAGTCCTCCGAAGACGCCGCCACGCAATGGGCCTCCAGGCGCCCCTGGCTGCGCTCTTGGTGTCGACAGAGATCTGGGACGCGACGCAGCGTCTCCTGATTTCCGCGTTTAAACGTCGCACGTTAAAACTCTGCAATGAAAGAAATCATCAAACGTTGGGAAACATGGTCATTTTATTTCTCGCCCACTTGTGGGTTGAGTCATCATCTGCCGAGAACAAATTGATGACATATTGTCAGGCTTGGGAAGGGCTTTTGGATCTCGCCTTGGATGGAAAGACATGAGGGTTTAGGTGGTCGGAAGATGGTCATCTGATATTTTTGCTCATGGTGCCGCCTGACATTCAACCTGACATCAAGGCATGTTTGCTCCAAGCCGCGAATACGCAGCTGCTTGGAACGGGACCACAAACGACAGAGTGTAAAGAATCGTAAAGAACAAGTGTAAGCAGAATAACCGTCTTCAGTCGACCGCCGTCTTCAGTCACCTGATATGCCCCAGACCCCAAACTCCCAGACCCCAAACAGTATGTTCTTCTGTGGCTGATATGGTGGGACATGCGTCGAAATGGCTGAAAAAGACGCGCAGGACATGCGTCGCTCCTCCCGCAGATCGCCCTGCAGAGCCGCACAACGCAAGGGCGAGGGCTCGAGCGCGGTGACACGGATGGCACCTCCCAACTGGAGGTGGAGTGGTGAAGCGATACGGATCCGAAAGAGTTCGCATCTTCTTGGGGATGTGCCAAAGATCCAAAGGGGAGTTTGTAAGAACCCAAAAATGACACAAGAAAGCCGATGGCCAGAAAGAATTTGTTCACATGACCCACGGTGCACTCCAATTCTCGGCCCCCCATCCAGTCTGCCTGCACCATCAACACCACCGGTCTTGTTCAAGGCATCCCAAAGCGCCAAGCAATAGCAGCTCACCGCACCTTTCTTTCTGTGGGTCGATCGTCTGGGCACAGCCGCCCAGACGATATGGGAGATGGAGGTTTCTGTTGGGCCAAAACTGGCAGGTGTGAGTTCAGTCTGCACTTTGAATGTAAATTTATCACTCATGAAAGCCTTGAAAGCTCCAGAAGCTTGACATTGGTCATCCATCCATCCATCAATCCATCCATCGACCCTTTTCTCAGCCACAAAGCAAAAGCAAAGAACAATGCCCCCCAAATACCCCTTAGGAGCTAGAAATCAAGTGTGTTTAGCTAAGCCAACCCAAAAAGAATCCACACAACACACCCCTGCAAAATCTCTCTGATTTCATCCATCGCATCGACCTCCACGCCTGCGAAGGCTCCAACATCGATGACTTGGATCACCTGTCCTTGGCAAGCTGTGAGTGGGCAGCTGGTGATTGTGCGATTAAGGAACCTAATAGCGATGGCCTCCAACCTAATAGCGATGGCCTCCAACCCAGTAGCGATGGCCTCCAACCCAGTAGCGATGGCCTCCAACCTAGTAGCGATGGCCTCCAACCTACATAATAGCAAAATGGCAAATCCATCAAATCCTCTTCACCTCATTTTGCTTCGATCTAGCAGTCTGTTGAAAAAAGAATCCAAGCTTG